GGGATCGCAACCCTCAGTGTTGCCCCCGTACCGGACCGGGGACCGGCAACGGGATCGCAACCCTCGGTGTTGCTCCCGCGCCTTGCTCAGCCCCTTGCTCAGCCAGTGAGCGGGAACCAGTCTGTACGTGGGATCAGAACCCTCGGGCGGGAGCGCCGCTGCGCTTCCCAAGCGGCGCACTATCCAGTGCTCCACCGGGCCAGCCCTGCTGATATGTTTTCTCTTGGATCTAAATTTTGTGTATAAAAAAATGGTGACACTAACCCAGTGGTTCTTAACCTGGGTGATTCCCCTTCCCCAGGAGACATTTGGCAATGTCTGGAGGCATTTTTGGTTGTCAGAACCAGGAGGGAGAGGTGCTACTGTTGCCTAGTGGGTAGGGGCCAGTGATGCTACTAAGCATTCTAGGACAACCTCTCACAACAAAGAATTATCTGGTCCAAAATGTCAGTAGTGCCACTGTTGAGGAATCCTGAACTAAACAAACTTCTTTGTCAAAGCTATTGGCACGATAAAAACTTTAGACAAATTAAATTTAACAAGAGTTTAATTGAGCAAAGAGTGATTTGCAAATCAGGCAGCCCTCAGAACCAGAACAGGTTCAGATAGCTCTACTCCACAATGTGGTCATGCAACATGTATGGACACAAAGTGGAAGTGAGTTAAAGAAACAGCTTGATCGGTTACAGCTCAGTGTTTGCCTTATTTGAACATGGTCTGATCAGTTGGCAGCCTGTGATTGACTGAAGCTCTGCTGCTGTGATTAGCTGAGATTCAGCTATTTGTTAACAAAGCATACTCCTAAATTAGGCTTTCAGTTAATATATGTACTAAGTTAGGTTGCAGTTTGTTACGTAAGGACGTGAAGTAAGAAGGCATCCTGAGGACAAATTTAGTTTAATTAAATTTATTAAGCAATTATAGCCTTACTGATAGCCCCAGACTTTCATTGTCCTTACAATTCACAGTGTGAAAAGAAAAGAGAAAATCTTTTCCTGCCAGCACTGACAAAAGTCCTGGAGAAAACTCTTACTGGCCAAGCATGGATCATGTGCCATCTCTGAAACAATCATTGTGGCCAGATGGTGGCATATTCTGGCTAGGCTTGTGCAGGTTATTCCCCTCTCAGGGGTTTGGTGTGGGGGTAAGGTTTGAGGTTAGAATGAAATCAAATGGAATGGGTTCTCCATTGGAGAAAGGGATTCTATTGTCAAAATAGAAAGGGAAAGAATTGGGCACATAAAACGCAACAGCTGTCTATTATAAATGACCTAAAAATCAAGTGAGCAATGTCCAAAGGGGCATGCATGTGATTAAGTATTATTTAAAAGGTATTCTTAATTATTAACTTGAGTATAGAAATTATTTTATTATAAACCTTTGGGAAATCCCTTTAAATACAGCTGTCTATTATAAATGACCTAAAAATCAAGTGAGCAATGTCCAAAGGGGCATGCATGTGATTAAGTATTATTTAAAAGGTATTATTAATTATTAACTTGAGTATAGAAATTATTTTATTATAAACCTTTGGGAAATCCCTTTAAATAGGATTATTGCGAGTGATAAAATCAAGCCATGTTACTTTAAATGTGATCTAAAATTAGTTTCATTTGGAAGGTTTTATCTTTCAAATTCTTTTCATGTTTTTAAAATTTCAGGTCTATACTTTCCATGCCTGACTAAAACATATAACTTACTTTATTGGTAATAGTATTTATGTGACAGTTTGTGTACGGTACAGGATTTGAGTTAATCTGAGTTATGAGTGGTTGCTTTTGCATTATTTTTTATGATTGCAATTAAACATTCAGCAGCATACTAGATAACAATTTGTACATTTTTATTAACTCATTTTTCTAGTTCCAATAATTTCCACTGAATACCTTAGTAATTAAATAATTCTTTTTCTTCTTTTTAATGATTGGACTTAACCAATATAGTTCACATGAAGAAAGGCATACACTAGGTTTTTCTGCCTAAATTATGCACTATTCTCTTATGAGTATTCTTGTTCCCCTTTAGAAAATTTTTAAACTACCTCATTTAAATAAATCCACTACAAATGGTTTGACTTATGAGCATTTTGATAGATGCTGTGTGCTCAAAGAATGCAGAAAATCATTAAGAAGGGCTTAAAAACAATAATTAAGAAAGCGGTATTTAATTAAAAGCTGTAATTCATTTGTAATAATTTATTCATCAAACATTTATTGAATACCTGGTGGACTTGAGATACTTTTTTTGGCACTGGGAATACAATGACTATGAAAACACAGGCTGTACACCCTGCCTTCCAAAAAAAGTCTTGTAGACTAAAAAGTAGTTTTTAAACATTTTTCTCATTTAACTGCTAAAAGGATTTTGTAAATATGTATCCCTTTTGCATATTTTTAGGTTGATATCTAGAAATTTTCCTGGTCAGTATAAATAGTTGGAAAGGATGACATTTCCAGTGTATTGTAAATATTGACATTTACAAGAAAAATTGCTTCAAACTTTTTTTTAACAATAAAGTATTTTCTTTTTTTTATTGGTTATGAATATTCATGAGATACCAAGTTGATTGTCACCCCTTGTGCCCAAGATGTGAAGGTCA